GACTGGTTCAAAGGCCAGCACACTTGAAGGCCTCTGAGGCCTAACAGGTTGGAATGGGAAGGGGGTAAAGGCCACGCTCCTGGGGCAGGCGGTAAAGGCCACGCTCCTGGGGCAGGTTATGTACCAGTCACTTCTGAGCCCAGAAAGCCAGCAAGTGCTAGCGTAAGAGGCAGCAGTGTTAACGGGAATATGTGACAACCTGCATAGAAGGTGGAGGGAGGAGCACAGGCTGCAGGAGGGGGAGTCTGCGGAAGGCAGAGTGTGTGCACATGGCTAGACCTCGACCTGCACTTGTAGCATCTCCGATAATAGTTCTCCTAATACAAAGCCAGTTTAGTCTCACGCGCTGAGTCCTTTCCTCGCCCAGCACGACACAAGCAACGGGTGCTATTTGCCCAAAGCTCCCTCACCGCCCGGGGCGTGTTGGTGGCTTCCCCCGATTGAGAGCCAGGCCCTATCTGTGCCTTGTGTAGGATACAGCATCTGCCGTGGAGTAGCTGGTGCAGCTTCCTTATGTATCACATTCAAGCAGCGTGACTTGCACGCCCACATTCCCACATAGAAACTGACCCCCCCCAAGTCACGAGCCATAGGCTCCTACTTTGTCCCGCTCATGTCTCTCCCCAAAGCCCATAGCACCTGGCTCTCCCCTCAAAGGGCTATGGGCAAAATAGACCATATGTAACAGCAGTCACGGGGTTCACAAGCTGTGAGTAGCTTCCCCATCAGTCACTGGCCTGCTGCACCATCCATTCCTTATTCTTCCTCTGCCACTTCCCTCCTGCTCACTCCGGTGTCGACCGGGAGTCGCTCACGCAGGGAATGAGATCTTCAGCTGGTGCCAAATGGTGCAGGTCCACCCTTGTATTCCATGCTGTGCCAATTTACAGCAGCTGCGAAGCAGGTCTGTGGCTTTCAGACAGGCCAGTGAGATTTCTTTACCTTCTCTCTGCTGCATGAACTGGCAGGAACCGTTCTGCCCCTCTCTTCCCTCCTCTCAGAATGCACCAGTTAGTGACACGCAAGGTGGCACATGAACATCTGTCCTGGACCCGTTTTGCACTGGACACCCAGCCCTGGCAGTGCTCGTCCACACACTGCTCATGTTTGTCAGGGCTGCTGTCACAAGAGCCTTGGTCTTGTCTCTTCCTGTCGGGTGTGTGAAGTGTTAACACCTGTTGATAGCATTGGCCCCTTGCTCCAAGTCTCGCCGGGCGGCTGAGGCCCGGCACATCACAAAGCAGCTGATGCTGGTTTCCAGCAGGGACTGGCACAGCTGAGATGATTGGAGAAGCCAGAGTTCCTGGCAGAAGGGGCCTGCAGGCTGCCCTTTCAGCCCCCATTCCTACTCAAGGCTAACCCCGTTGAGTCCCTCATCCCCCGTTTGCTTTTATTCCCAGGCATAGTCCAGAGGTGACGGGATCGTTTGCTCTGTGTATTTGTCTGAAGTTTAATAAAACTCGCCACGTCTGGGCACCAGCCATCTCCTACTGAACCAGGACACCTGGGTTCCTTTCCCAGCTCTGCATGGGGAGGGGGCTAGTGCCTGAGGCAGGGCAAGTGGGTCTTAGAATTATAGAATCATAGGGCCAGAAGAGACCTCAGAAGATCAAGTCCAGCCTCCTGCTTTTGCGGAAAAACTTGCCAGCTGTCTACACTGGCCGCTTGAATTTCCGGAAGAACACTGACTTCCTACTGTCTGAAATCAGTGCTTCTTGCGGAAATACTGTGCTGCTCCCGTTTGGGCAAAAGTCCTTTATTGTCAGTGCTTTTGTGGAAATACTATGCTGCTCCCGTTCGGGCAAAAGTCTTTTTCCAAAAAACTTTTGCGCAAAAGGGCCAGTGTAGACAGCTCAGATTTGTTTTCCACAAAAAAGCCCCGGTCACGAAAATGGCAATCGGGGCTTTTTTGCGGAAAAGCGCGTCTAGATTGGCACGGATGCTTTTCCACAAAAAGTGCTTTTGCGGAAAAGCGTCCGTGCCAATCTAGACGCTCTTTTCCGGAAATGCTTTTAACGGAAAACTTTTCCATTAAAAGCATTTGCGGAAAATCATGCCAGTCTAGACGTAGCCCAGATGTGGCCTCACCAGAGCCAAATAAAAAGGAATAATCACTTCTTTAAATCTGCTGGCAATGCTCCTCCTAATGCAACCTAATATGCCATTAGCCTTCTTGGCTACAAGGGCCCACTGTTGGCTCATCTCCAGCTTCTCATTCATTGTTATCCCCAGGTCCTTTTCTGCAGAACTGCTGCTTAGCCAGTCGGTCCGCAGCCTATAACAGTGCTTGGGATTTTGCCCTCCAAAGTGCTGGACTCTGCACTTGTCCTTGTTGAACCTCATCAGATTTCTTGTGGCCCAGTCCTCTAATCTGTCCAGGTCACTCTGGACCCTGTCCCTGCCCTCCAGCGTATCTACCTCTCCCCCTAGCTTAGTGTCATCTGCAAATTTGCTGAGGGTGCAATCCATCCCCTCCTCCAGGTCATTAATAAAGATTGAACAAAATCGGCCCTAGAACCGATCCTTGGGGCACTCTGCTTGAAACTGACTGCCATCCTGACATCGAGCCATTAATCACTCACTAACTGTTGGTCCCAACAGTCTAGCCAGCTTTCTATCCATCTTACAGTCCATGTATCTAATCCATACTTCCTTAGCTTGCTGGCAAGAATTTTGTGGGATATCAAAAGCTTTATTGTGTAGCAAAAGCTTTGCTAAAGTCAAGATGTATCACATCTATTGACTTTCTCACATCCGCAGAGCCAGTTACCTCAGCATAGAAGCTAATCATGTTGGTCAGGCATGACTGGCTCTTGGTGAATCCATGCTGACTATTCCTGATCACTTTCCCCTCTTCCAAGAGCTTCAAAATGGTTTTCTTGAGGATCCCCTCCATGATTTTTCTGGGGACTGAGGTGAGGCTGACTGGTCTGTAGTTCCCTGGATTGTCCTTCTTCCCTTTTTTGAAGATGGGCACTACATTTGCCTTTTTCCAATCATCCGGGATCTCTCCCGATCTCCAGGAGTTTTCAAAGATAATGGCCAAAGGCTCCTCAATGACATTTGCCAATTCCCTCAGCCCCCTTGGATGCATTAAATCCGGGCCCATGGATTTGTGTATTTCTAGCTTTTCTAAATAGTTCCTAATGGCTACGTCTAGACTGGCATGATTTTCCGGAAAGGCTTTTAACAGAAAAGTTTTCCGTTAAAAGCATTTTCGGAAAAGCGCGTCTAGACTGGCAGGACGCTTTTCTGCAAACGCACTTTTTGCGGAAAAGCGTCCGTGCCAATCTAGACGCGCTTTTCCGCAAAATAGCCCCGATCGCCATTTTCGCGCTCGGGGCTTTTTTGCGGAAAACAAATCTGAGCTGTCTACACTGGCCCTTTTGCGCAAAAGTTTTTTGGAAAAAGACTTTTGCCCGAACGGGAGCAGCATAGTATTTCCACAAAAGCACTGACAATCTTACGTGAGATCGTCAGTGCTTTTGCGGAAATTCAAGCGGCCAGTGTAGACAGCTGGCAAGTTTTTCCGGAAAAAGTGGCCAGTCTAGACACAGCCAATCTGTTCTTTACCCACCAAGGGCTGCCCCCCTCCTTCCGATGCTGCGCTGCCTAGTGCAGTAGGCTGGGAGCTGAGCTCGTCTGGCCTGGCTCAGCTACAGCCCTGCTCTGTAACACTGCACAAGGTGTCGTGTGTTGTGGCAGCTCGGCCTGAGACTCCCCAAAGGGGCCCAGGCAGCTCTTTAGCAGGTGTAAACCAGCATCACTCCACTGAGTTCACTGCAGTGGGGCTGAGTCACACCCACAGCAGCTGGGCCATAGGGTGTAGTGCTCCCCTGGCCCAGACAGCCCTGCACCCGCTGCAGCTGGGCCATAGGGTGTAGTGCTCCCCTGATCCAGACAGCCCTGCACCCGCTGCAGCTGGGCTCCTGTCTACTGCTGGGAAAGAGGGGAGATGGGGTTTGAGGTAAGGAGGCTGATTCTGCTCTCACACTATGGTAACATGGCTGAGTTCAGCGGGGTTACTCCTGGTTTATACCAGAGTGGGGGAGGGGGGTTGGGCCCACTGGGATTACTCACAATTTGCACCAGCAGAAGGAAAGGGAATTGGCCCCAGTGGGACACTCCCAATTTAAACTGGAGTGAGTGAGGGGAATTGGCTCTAATGAGGTCTCTCCTGATTTACATGGGGATGAGGGAGGACTGGGCCCAGTGGGACTACTGATTCACACCAGAGGGACTGAGAGGGGAATTCGGCCCAGTGGGTTACTCCTGATTTACGGCAGGGGAGGAGAATCAGACCCACAGCTTTCATTCTCCTCTCATCCATTCAAGCAAGCCACGCCAGGGTTCACACACTCTGCTGAACGTCCCCCCCCCCGTTACCCGATTGCTTCGCTAGGCCCCTGGGCATAGGGAGGGATGTCTGGCTTGTGCTACTGGAAGGGATGTGGCCTCTCACAGAAAGGGTAGAGTTAGGGCAGCCAGCCCTCAGTGCCACTCGGAGTGCCATACAGGGCTCTGGCGGCGATTTAAAGGGCCTGGCGCTCCAGCTGCCACCACTGCCACAGTAGAGCCCCGGCCCCTTTTGAATCTCTGGGCCCCAGGTAGGGATGTGGATGGTTAATCAATGAACCCATAAATCAGTAAGCATCGCCTTTAACAATTTGGATCTCGGTCTGAGCTCTTCCAGTCACGCAGGGAGCCGGGCCCCGGGTTCTCTGGCGGCGATTTAAAGGGCCTGGCGCTCCAGCTGCCACCACTGCCACAGTAGAGCCCCGGCCCCTTTTGAATCTCTGGGCCCCAGGTAGGGATGTGGATGGTTAATCAATGAACCCATAAATCAGTAAGCATCGCCTTTAACAATTTGGATCTCGGTCTGAGCTCTTCCAGTCACGCAGGGAGCCGGGCCCCGGGTTCCAGGGTTGGGAACATGAGGGTGGAGCTGAGCAGTATGCGGTGAAATCGGCACTTCTGATGTGTCACCATCCCCTTTGCAGGACGCAGATCAATTTCACAGTGGCCATTGACTTCACAGCTTCCAATGGTGAGTTCTCCTGCCGGATTAATGAACGTGTCCAGAACCACGTTCATCTCTGCTAAGACAGCCAGTGGCTGATTACACAACACGTTACACTCAGGAGCGGCCTGAGGCCGGCTGCGGCAGCTGGCGCCCTAGGTGGAAGTCGCGATCGGCGCCCCCACCTACACGGCCGTCAATGGCCGTGACGTAATCACAGGGCGCCCCAGCACCCCGTGATGTCATCATCGGGTGCCCAGGCTGGCGGCGCCCTAGACATTTGCCTAGGTTCATGGGCTGTCCCTGATTACACTAATCCTCTGCGAATTAGGTATTACTGCACGCTCACTCGGCCCTGAGAAGTCCTGTAAAATCAATGGCTATTTTATGGCTGTAGGGCGCTTGTTCAGCCTCTCTCTGATAGGTGTTAGGGTTCCTTAAAGAGATGGGGCTTTGTTCTGGTAGCGAACACGAGTCCTACCCACCTGCCTTTGGGCCTGGTTCCCAGCTGATTTCGAGCAGTTTGACCCCAGCATGATTGCACCGACCTCAGCAGAGTTACGCCTCATTTACGGCCGTAGAAGAGAGCTGGATGCTGGCTCTTGGGTTGGTCTTTTCTCAGGCCATCCAGGACAACGTCCATGGAAGTCAGGGCGGGTCGGGCTCACCTCTCTGGTGTTATTTATTATGGACAGTGACTAGGAGCCACGACCCTGGCCCAGGCCCCCGTGGTGCTAGGTGCTGTACAGTCTGCCCCTAGAGCAGGCACTCACTCTCCTACGTCAGTTCCCCCCAGCAGTGACAGGGAGACCCGTACTTCCCTTGCCGTGTATGTGAGAATCAGGCCCTGTTGGACCCTCAGCTGAGCGGATGCACACACATGCCCCTCCCCTGCTTTGCTGTGCACTGCTGCCCGTGCTCTGCATGACCCTTCTCTCTCTCCGCCAGGCAACCCCTCGCAATCCACCTCCCTGCACTACATGAACCCATACCAGCTCAACGCCTACGCCATGGCGCTGAAGGCGGTGGGCGAGATCATCCAGGACTACGACAGCGACAAGATGTTCCCCGCGCTCGGGTTCGGCGCCAAACTCCCTCCCGATGGGCATGTGTCCCACGAGTTCCCCCTGGTACTGCCCCCCCTTCAAATCGCGCCGCCACGCAGGGCAGGTCTGCACGCAAACCGGCCTCGGCAGCTGTGCCGCTGGGCTCTCCTGTCGGCAGAATAGCTCCACCCCACTGAGAAGCCGTCTGCCCAGCACGTAGGAGGGGGTAACACCAGCAGAACACTCAGGCAGTGGGATAGTCACACCCCCAACCAGCGTAGGTAGGCCGAAGTCATGCTGGAGTGCGGACCGGGGCATAGAGAGACCCTCTATCCCACCATCCTCAGACATCCAGTGCCCGCCTGGAGGTGAAGGGTCTTTCTCCGGACCACCAGGCTGTCTGGCTGCCATGCCATCCAGGGCCAGGGCCTGACCCTGAAAGTGCAGCTCGCTCTGCAGCACTGAAACCAGCTGGGTGGGCACTTGGGCTCCAGCACCCGCCCAGCCCAAGTCTGACGGGTGTGTGTAGTGCGAGCGCACAAGCCGAGCGCCTGGCCTCTGAGGCTACATCTAGACTACAAAGAAAAGTCGGAAAAAGATTCGCAGGTTGCACACTGCACATTTTTTCTGCTTTTCTTTCAAAAGAGGCTTTTACGAAATGCGGTGCGTCTACACGGTGCCGAATTTCGGAAACCCTGCTCTTTCCAGTCATCCCTCCTTCCTCGTAAAACAAGGTTTACAGGGACAGCGAAAGCACGCGCCCGCCTTTCCGCCTTTCCTCGGGCGCGGCGTTGCTATTCCAGCGTACCTCTGGTATCCCAGAAAAGGGAGCTTTCTCAGTGCCAGGCCCGGGACCCCTGGGTTCTGTACCCAGCTCACGGTTGCACCCTGTCCTTGGATAAGCCATGTCCCTGTTCTGTGCCTCAGTTTCCCCTCCAGGAACATGGGCTGATGGTGCTTTGATGCGATTTGACAGCACTGCACAAGTGCTAAGTGTGACCCTCGTGGCTCCTCTGTGGCCCCTGTGAGTTCACCCCTTCGGGTGGCTCCTCCCAGCGCTGTGGGGACGTTTCACATGTCTCTGGACCCTCCGGCCAGTGCTCCGTGCAGGGCTCTGGGAAATACGAGTGGGGGATGGGGAATCACTCCCCTGTTGGGAGCCCCCCTCATGGCCTTTCGTCCCTCTCTCAGAATGGTGACCCCGACAACCCTGCCTGCAGTGGCATCGAGGGCATCCTAGACGCCTACCACCAGAGCCTCAAGACTGTCCAGCTGTACGGCCCCACTAACTTCGCCCCAGTGGTCAACCATGTGGCCAGGTATGTGAAGCTGGTACCTCCCACGGCCATGCGTGCTCTCACCCCTCCCTGGCGGCACGCCTGCCGGAGAGTTCTGCTGGTGTTTAAATAGAGCAGCAAGAGTCAGGAGATGGTTGCTAGACACCAGAGCTGGGAACGACCTAGCCGGGGCGGTGGATCCTCCATGGCTGGGTCCGATCCAGGTGTTCCTGTCTCAAGCCAGAGGTCTGGAGCATGGGTCAAGGCTCCCTTCTAGCCCCTGATACTGGATTAGCAGGGACGTGCCCAGGTCTCTCTTTTACTCCCAGGAGGATCCTGGTCTGGCTGAGCAGGGACGCAGCCCGGAGCTCTGGAGAGCCGGCGTGGCCCCTGGGGGACAGTGGGACTGGAGGTTACCTTTGGGGACAGGGAGAGGAGGGGGACTCATCCCATGAGTCTCCCAAACTGGGACATTGGAGAGGCTGCTCTGAACTGCGGAACGGGGGACACATTCCCTGCAGGGTCACCGGAGCTACCCGGGGAGGTTGGCCGTTGGCTCGGAGCGCCCTACCCCAACACACTCTGCACCCCCACCAGCCATCCTCTCAGCCTATGCTCCCCGTGCAGGTACGCCGCCGCGGAGCAGGACGGCTCCCAGTACTTCGTGCTGCTGATCATCACGGACGGGGTGATATCGGACATGGCCCAGACGAAGGAAGCCATCGTCAGCGTGAGTAGCAGGGGCTCCGCTCACCTGCTGTCCAGCCCAGCATGCCGATGTCTGCCCGAGGGCACCTCGCCAGGACAGACAATAGCGCTGAGCAAGCAGCTGTTGCAGGCTGAGGGCTTATGCAGCATCCCAATGAGTTTGTCACGCTCTGGCCAACCTCGGGTGGAGAGACCTGGGTTCTAGATTAGCCTGTCTCCAGAGGGTCCCTGCGTTCTGTCGGGGCAGTGCAATGCCCCAGGCACCGGAGAGCTCAGTTATCACAGCCTGAGGACTTGCTCTGTTCCCCCTCCCCCCCACGCCCACTGAAGGGCACAGTCGGAAGCACCAGCCTTTTCCCTTGCCCACCAACGCCGACTCCAGGGGTGCTCTGGGGCAGGAGGCCCCACAGAAAAATTAACGCGCGCGCACCAGCCACCTGTCGGGCAGAAGCTCACCAGCCTGACCACCTATGACTCGAACCAGTGCACCGGACTGTGCAAGCCCTGGTGCCTCACAGCATCAGCCACAAACCCTAACGGAGCCCCAGTTAAGCACCAAGCTTCCAAGTCCTGCTCTGTGTCGGGAGGGCGGGGGCACAGCTGTGTTGGGAACTGGTGTTTTGTTCAGTCGGGGCAGTACCACACTGGCTGCTGTGACATTTACCAGTAGAGGACTGGTCGTTTGTCAGTACTGATTAATGGCTGCTGGACAGTGTCCTATAAAAATGGAGAAACCCTTGGTAGTGTGGCCAGATGTAGCTGATTCAGGCTCGTTCATTTGCATGACAGGTGTGAGAAGTGCGTTTGCTTCTGGGGGAAGCAAAACAGCCTTCCTCTGCTTTCTGTCAGGCATTGTCTCCCGGCAAGCAGCTGTGGACTGTAGAGCTGCAGTGACGACGGTATGACGGATGCACTTACTCATCTGCAAGTTGTTATTGTAGCTCTTATTATGGGATAGGTGCAAGTCAGAGGGGCCTACAGCTCTGAATACTGTATCCAGAGGGTGAAAGGCATCTCAGCCGGTGTAAATCCGCACATCTCCATTGGTTTCCATGGAGCTATGCTGATTTACACCTTCTGAGGGTCTGTCCCTGTGCACTCAGGCGATGGGGATAAGAATCAGAATCGAGCCATGTTACTAAGGGACCGGCTTGTAGAGAGCAAACACATCCAGGCAACGAGTTCTGCTAGCTCACACGCAGGGCGAAGCCATCAGCATGACGGCTCAGCTCCGGGACACCTCTTTTATAGCTGTGGCTAGAAACCACTTGCGCGTCCTCCTGTGCTCTTGTGTGGTAAGGACGGAGCAGGCCATGAGGGTCGATGCCCATTGTGAAACATGTGAACCTATCAGCTCCATTCGTGATGAGCAACAGAGCCGTGCGGGGCTGTCTCGCCTTCTCTGACAGAAATTGGAGATGACGCCAGCGCATCCGAACTCACAGGTCTCCTGGCGCAGCTAGAATGGCCCTGATGAGGTCCGTCTGGGGGAGGTGTTGGAAGCAAAAGCCCAGGGATGTCAAAGGCAGATACACTCGGAGGCTGGCTCCTGTGCGGAGCTAAAAACAAGTCCCCTCATTCCTGTGATGTCCCTCTCGCCTCGCTGGGAATGTTTAAGCCTTTGCCCCTTGTTATTGCACCAGGTGCCACTTGGCTTCTAGCCTCATGCAGAATGACCTTCCCGCAAATCTCTGTCAAACGGTTCTGTCAAACGCCTGCTCCCTGCAGATGTGTAGCTGACGGCTGTGTGCTGTGACCACATGCTGCGCAGGGCCAGCCTCGGGGGAGATGCTATTTTGTAGAGCAGTGCAGCATGCGAGAGCGCACTGAGAGGCAGTGTGTGTGCGTACATGTGTGTGCAGGCACATGCTCGTGTTCCTTTAGTCTCAGGTCACCTTAGCTGGCGAGCGCAGCCGTTTGTGCCCTTGTGAAATACTTGGATACCTGCCATTGGCACACAAGCCGCCTCTTTCTTGGGACGTGTCCTCTGCCATGTTGCAAGTGTTCCAGGGGGTCCCATCAGTTTGTCATTGGTCGACTGGAGAACTTGGCAGAAAACTGTTCTTGGTACCTCGGCTCCGCAGCTCGCCCGCCCTCACATGCACCGTAGCATCCCAGGCAACTGAGTTACTCATCTGTTGATCAAGCCTATTGTGAGGCTTTGCAGATCTAAAGACACGCCTCCCTGTACTGTCATGTGAGCTGACACGCCTGGGCTGCTTTCATGAGATCGGTCCATTTGGGAGCGAAGTGTGCTGTGAATTCCTCTTGACAGGGAGCGTATGTTCTGTTTGTGTCTCCTGGAGAGCTGTCATCAGACACCTCTTCTTGTTTGGGCCCTGTGATGACTCCTCACTCCTCACTCCATTTTTACTGTCTTCTAAGAACAGAGGCTGATTAAGGACTGCGCGATTGGGCTCAGATACACAGAAGGGGCCTGTTGTGGTGCAGTCCTGTGTGATGGGAGCAGGTTGTTGGGGCTCAGCTGTTTGCCCAGGCTTTCTGCAGATGTTGGAACCTGCTTTGGCAAGGATGGCTGAGTTCTGTGGATTTATTGTGGCAGATATGGGGTGCTCCCCACTCTGGGCATAAGGGAGGCAGGGCTGGTGCTCTGGGCAGAGGGACTTTGGGACATGGATCCTCACGGGACACCCCACAAATAGCTCAGCTAGGAGGAGGAAGCCTAGGCAGAATGAGACTGCACGATACTTCCAATGATATGCTGCCACTCTTCTGACTGCTAGTAGTCACTATCTTTAGTGGCCAGTGATGGGATCCTAGCTGGGGAGGGCTCTGAGCTACTACAGCAAATTCTTTCCCAGGGTTGCGGCTGCTGGGTCTTGCCCACATGCTCAGGGTCTAACTGATCCCCACATTTGGCACCAGGAGCAAATTTTTCCCACATGTGAGATTGGCGGACCCTGGCGGGGGAGGGTTCCATCTTCTGCAGCAGGGGCACGAGTCACTCGCAGGTTTGAACTAGTGTCAACGGTGGAGCCTCTGTCACGTGCTGTCTTTAAACCCGGATTTGAGGACATCAGCAACTCAGCCAGAGGACTGGGGTCTCTTACAGGAGTGGGTGGGGGAGGGCCTGTGGCCTGCAACGTGCAGGAGGTCAGACTGTGATCACGCAGGTCCATGAGTTCTGTGGGGTTATGACTCAGAGCATGTGGGTGCCCTGCAAGGGGACAGCCCTTCCCAGTGACACAGGATCGCCAGGCCCTTCTACCAACTAACAAGTGGCAACGTGACAGTTTCCTCTTTGCTCAGAAGTTGCTGGGCACTGACAGCAAACATCTGTTCATGTAGAAACAGAAGGGATTGCCTTATTGCTGCTAACGAGGGACCCTGCATCTGTTTTTCAGTTACTGTGGGAACAGGAGTGGTAGAAATGCCTTGACAGATTGCTAGGTAGATCAGTAGGCTGATCAGTAGCTAGAAAGGAAGCGAGGATGGGAAGATAAAACAATAGGGTGGTGGCTAAATATAAGGGTGGATGGAGAGATGGATGAATAGGCAGCTAGGATGGCAGGCAGATGGATAGAAACACATTTTTCAGGTTCTTACTCAAGTAATTTGGCTTCTGTCTGGAAGAATAGGACTTTCCATTTGTTTGCTCATTTTTTAATATATCTGCTAAAGTCCCTGGGATGCGGCTGAGGCATTGCTAACTCAATCCAGCCAGGAGATAGTTCATCTCAATTACGTTGCTCATTTCACTATTAGAATTGCAAAGGGGAAATAAAAAAACTCCCTCTCCCTCTGCGTGGGCGGCTTCTCTGTCTTCCAATATTTCCTCAGTTGCCTTCACTGCTGAAAGATTTTCATTTGCTGTGAGATTTGCAGACTCCAGGTTTCAATGTGCAGAAGCTTTTTGTTTGATCAGTTTCCTTTTCCTCCTTGCCACCCCACCAGGGGCTAAGTCCACCTGCCTGGGCATCCATTGATCTCTGGCAGTGAGCACACTTAGTATCCACATGCTGCCCGGCCACCGGGGTCCCCTCTCATCTACACCACATGTCACCATTGTATCACCACAGACTTCAGTGGCTTTACCCTGGATTTACGTGGAGCGAGAAGAGAATCAAGCCCAACTGACAAGTATCAGAGGGGGAGCCGTGTTAGTCTGAATCTGCAAAAGCGGCGAGGAGTCCTGTGGCACCTTATAGACTAACCGGAGTGTCGGAGCATAAGTACGTGCATCTGACGAAGTGGGTCTTTGCCCACCAAAGCTTATGCTCCGACACTTCAGTTAGTCTATACGCCCAACTGAGTGACTCCTGATTGACACAGGTGTGAGAGATGGGGAATCAGGCTTGGTGGAGTCACTCCTGATTTACACTGGGGGGGTGGAAATCAGGCTTGGTCAAGTGACTTTTGATTAACGTGAGCATGAGAAAGTGAGGAATGGAGCCCCTTACATTTAACAAAGCAATTACAGGCCAGATCCTCAGCTCATAGGCTCCGTCGCTTGATACTCCAGGGCTGGCGCACTTGCCAGGAAATACCAGTGGGTAAAGAGCACCCACCAGCAGCCATGCTCTGCCCTATGTCTCTCGCTGACCAACTCCTACTCCTCCCTCCCAGCACTTGCAGAATGCCCCAAACAGCTGATTTGCAGCGGGAGGGTGGGGGAGGAGTGGGGATGGGACACACTTTGGGGCTGTGTCTACACTAGTCTGTACTTACTTAGAGGTGTCAGCATGTGTCACCCTTTGTGGACAGCCTGGCTACATCTAGACTGGCATGATTTTCTGGAAATGCTTTTAACAGAAAAGTTTTCCGTTAGAAGCATTTTCAGAACAGAGCGTCTAGATTGGCACAGACGCTTTTCCGCAAAAGCACTGTTTGTGGAAAAGCGTCCGTGCCAATCTAGACGCGCTTTTGCGGAAATACTTTTAACGGAAAAACTTTTCTGTTAAAAGTATTTCCGCAAAATCATGCCAGTCTAGACGCAGCGTTAATGTTTTGAATTGCTTGACAGGCCTCCTACGGATCCCTTAGTGAGAAGAGATTGAAGAGAGTCAAGGGCTATTGGTGTAACTTTCCCATGGGCCTTCCATCTAGAACACTTTATAAAGGACCCTCCTGCTGTTCGTCACCCCTAGGCTGCGTCTACACTGGCATGATTTTCTGGAAATGCTTTTAACGAAAAACTTTTCTGTTAAAAGCATTTTTGGAACAGAGCGTCTAGATTGGCACAGACGCTTTTCCGCAAAAGCACTGTTTGTGGAAAAGCGTCCGTGCCAATCTAGACGCGCTTTTCCGCAAAACAGCCCCAATCGCCATTTTCGCGATCGGGGCTTTTTTGTGGAAAACAAATCTGACCTGTCTACACTGGCCCTTTTGCGCAAAAGTTTTGCGCAAAAGGGACTTTTGCCCGAACGGGAGCAGCATAGTATTTCCGCAAGAAGCACTGATTTCTTACAGTAGGAAGTCAGTGCTTTTGCGGAAATTCAAGTGGCCAATGTAGACAGCTGGCAAGTTTTTCCGGAAAAGCGGCTGATTTTCCAGAAA